CGCCGGGCTCCCCCCGTCCCCACCGCCCCGCTCGCGCTGGCGGCCAGACAAAGCAAACTCTGGTTGCATCACGGAGCAAACTCATTTTCCAGCAACCTCCCAGCCCGGAGTTTACCGCTACTGTAATCCGGTGCTGTCAACAACGCCGCCTTTGTTGCGCGCCCGTGCGCGCGGCTTGCTTGTTGGTTGGTTTGTTGCTTTTTTTATTATTATTATTTATTTCAAGGAGAATTTTTGTTTTAAATGAGTAATCTGTTTTCGAGTGATTTCTCCTCTGCGCTGGCTCCACCCTGCACTGTAAACGAGACATTACCTTATACAAGAATGAATCTGCTGCATTCCTCTGTCTAGCTGCCTCGCAGCACATTTCCTACGCTCGCAGCAGCCCCGGCAGCGCACGCTCTCCCACCCCTTCCCCCCCACCTTTTTTTCTTTCCTTTTTTTTTTTCTTTTTCTTTTTTTTTTTTTTTCCTTTTCACTGCCTCGCTGTGTTTTTGTGTAAATGATCTCACATGACTCAACAAATCCATCTGCCTGGAGCAGGCCAAGTTTGGAGCCTTCCCAGGAGGGAGGAGAAGAATTGCTTTGTGGAAAGGACCTGGAGCTTTGCCCTTTCTCTGGCTCAAATTACCCGCCTGTCAGGCCTGACAGATTTGGCTAAAAATAAAAGGAAGCGGGCCGTGAAAAGGAGATGAATGAGCTCAGCAGTTCCTTAGATAACATGGGCCTGGTGTTGCCCAAAGCTCCCAGAGCAGGCACTTCAGATGCCGGGCATGTGAGTGTGGTGCTGCAGCCTAGGTGAACTTGGCTGCTCGGGGACCCCAAAAAAAGAAAGGGGGGTGAAAAAAAAGGGCAAAACCAACCATACACTGTTGGAAATAAACGGATTAAAGACACACGGAACGGGAAAACTGCCTGCTGCAGGTTTTGAGCTTGTAAAAGGAGAGATTTACAGCATTTCCAGTGGGGAAAGGGGGCGTACGGGGGTGTGGCGGGGGGATGCACGTGATGTCAGCTTCCCGCCCTGCCCGAGGAGCCTCAGCATCCTCCCTGCAAATGCCTGCCCAGCGCCCGCAGCAGGTATTAAGCACTTAGTTTGGCAATGTAATGACACACTGCAACAATCTGTAATGTGAGGCAGTCAGCAAAGCCCTGGCTCGCAAAGCTCTTTCTCCTAACCATTAACCATATGTTTGGCTCCGCTGCCGCCCGAGCGAGCGGGTGTTCCAGCGCACCATCTGGTTTCTATCCACACAAGCAACTGCAAAGCACAGAGTATTTCCCTCTGGAGCCGTGTCTTCCTCCCCGGCTCACCCTC